ACAAAGCTTGCTAGTGATGGCTCGAATTGCAACACTGCTCGAGAGAAATGCTAGATTTAGATGACTCACACCCACAACAATAAAAAGTTCTAGCGTAATTCAAGACAGCTGACTGCAGACTTGAATCATACATTAATACTCAGCTGTATTTTTTTCATTTTATTGCTTCAAAGTTAAAATTGGGTTGCAACTACTGCCCTGCACAGGGCAACATTCTGGAAGGGGCCATTGTGGCTCTGGCATGGACTTTGCATGGCTGATGCCAAGAAAAAATAAGGGAATGTCAGGGCAAGATGAGAAGAAAATAATTCAGTGAAGAAGGAGGCAGTGTTTTAAGATAATGGATCCCGTTTCCCTGCTAGTTGTTGGTCTCAGTTTGTTATAACTTTTCCCGAATGCCTTATCTAAATTAGGTTTTCTCTCTTCTTTTAGCTCTATAAGTTCTTTGCAATCTTGCCGTACTAGTTTCTGCCTGAATTTCCTCTGTGAATGATGCAGACTTCTGAGAAATCTTCGTCTCAAAACAGAGATTGTTATGATGGAATTCCTCATTTCTTCAAATCCTTTTAGTTCCATCACTGTATTCTACTGCAGTGTCCTAGTGTTATATGACAGTTACTGCTCATTAGAAGTGGCCCAGAATATACTATAAACTTTAATCACTTAAAGAATACCCCATGGGACAGGCTTTCCCTGTGTTATCTCAACAACTCTGTTCCAAGTACTTTGGACTTGCTGTTCAGCTTGGCTCTGTAAGCCTATGCTGTTAAGAGTAGAGGAGGGAGTTCACGGCAGCATGAAGGAGGAGTGACTCTTTGGCCCTTCCTAAGGAGATTAATTATTACTGATTTGTTGTGAATACTTGTTTTTAAAAAAAGTGGACTAAGATCCCACTAACCTTTCACAGAGACAACCTGGAAATTTGCCAGTGGTAACAACTTTCAGTCACCTCACTGCAAAGGCAGTTTCTCTTGTGTTTATGAAAAGATCTTGCTCAATTGTTTTGTAGTATATTGGTGACTTCCATTCAGAAAATGTGTGAGCAGTTAGTCCATGTATATGCATATTGAAGACTCCCTTTTTTCCCCACAAAGCATGGTCAGCTGTCGTGGTTTAACCCCAGTTGGCAACTGCGCCCCACCCAGCCGCTCACTCACTCCCCCCCAGTGGGATGGGGGAGAGAATCGGAAGGGTAAAAGTGAGAAAACTCGTGGGTTGAGATAAAGACAGTTTAACAGGTAAAGCAAAAGCCGCACACGCAAGCAAAGCAAAACAAGGAATTCATTCACTGCTTCCCATGGGCAGGCAGGTGTTCAGCCATCTCCAGGAAAGCAGGGCTCCATCACGCCTAACGGTGACTTGGGAAGACAAATGCCATCACTCCTAACGTCCCCCCCTTCCTTCTCCTTCCCCCAGCTTTATATGCTGAGCATGACACCATACGGTGTGGGATATCCCTTGCGTCAGTTGGGGTCAGCTGTCCCGGCTGTGTCCCCTCCCAACTTCTTGTGCCCCCCCAGCCTACTGGGGGTGGGGTGGGGTGAGGAGCAGAAAAGGCCTTGACTCTGTCAGCACTGCTCAGCAGTAACTAAAACATCCCTGTGTTATCAACACTGTTTCCAGCACAAATCCCAAACACAGCCCCATACCAGCTACTGTGAAGAGAATTAACTCTGCCCCAGCCAAAACCAGCACATCAGCCTATGGAATTCACCAAAAGAGATACTAAATCTTGCTAAAAATTTAGCAATGGTCAGAAGTGGATTAGGCATATACCAAAATAAAACAAAAAGCCCAAACAAAAAACTCAGAAGAGCTAGAAATTGTGATGTTTCAAGGAATAAGACATTTGATAATCAAACAGGTGGTTGGAAGCAGTTTCCCAAGCGGGTTATTCCAGAATTGTTGTTTGGAAGGTCTCCTGTGTCTTTGGCAGAAGCTTTCAACTTTGGCCACTCTTAGGATGAGGATACCGGGCTGTTTGGACCACTGATCTGATTAGACATGGCGATTTCTGATGTCCTTGCCAAATAAGCTCATGAACGGCTGCAAGCCACACTCAGTGCATAAATGTGAGGAATGTAGTCAAGGTGGGCAGAACTTTGCCTCAGCATTTTACCCTGAGCTAAGCTGGGTGTTGTTCAAAAGCTATGAAGTTTGTCCCCTGCAATGTGTCTGTGCCTCGGATGATGCCCTTTTATTTAATGTGTGATGCTCACGCTTAATGCTTTGAGAAAGAAAAGAGGAATTAATTCCAAGCTAACCCAAACTAAGCTAGACAGTGTTGCTGTGTTTGCTATTTTTAGGAAATTATTACAATCAAGGAGAGATTCGCAAGAAAGAACTGGAACAGAGTTGTTTTCTTCTGGGGATTCCTGCTTCCGATGTAACAGTCCTTGATCACAGGTAACCGGTTTTCTTTTATAGCATAATTTCATTGCAGTTTTTAAATAGGGGGTGAAGTTCACTTTATAGTTCAGTGAAAGCATACTGTGTCATTCTAAAAGGTCTTGAGGAATCTCAAAAATGACCATATTAGATACTTTTGTTAACTCTTAATATAACTAATTAAATAACTAAAGCAGAAGACAATTCAAGTGTATAATGGGGATCATAATCCCTAGGTTAAGCTCTGTTGATACAGCATTTAGAATACTGATAACCATACTTGTTGGGGTCTGGCACAGTCGGTTTGGGCAGCATGGTCACGTTTTGTTACACTTGCTGCAGTGTTACACAATTACAAATTCTCTGAATTGCCTGTGGCAGGTTTGTCTGTAGGCTAGTCTTTACAGGGTTAGTGTGGAATTCTATTATATTTATAATCTGGTTTAGTCCTGGCTAAAGACAAAAGTGAATTGCAGTATTAAAGACAGTCCACAATAACATGACAGTAAGATTCTTTCAAATTAAGCCATGAAAGATTTCTGTTTTTCTAAGGTGTGATGTTGTTTTCTTTAGTTGTGTGTAGATACAAAGGTAGGTGATAAAGCTGACACTTATTTGTTTTGGGATTAATTCAGGAACTCTCTTCTGGCAAGGTGATTTAACACTTTGAATCAGTGAAACTCAGAACTAACATTGTAAAGGCCTCTTAAATTGCCCAGTCGCTGTCTATCTGGGGTTGACAGGAGCTGAACTAGATCCTGATTGCTAGGAAACACCGTACAAGTGGTTGTTTCAATTGTAAACAACTGTCATACAATCCATAATGAATATTTTTGTTTATGAAGAAGTACCTTAATAGCAACATATTGATTTAAAGCCACACCAACTAGAAAAGTCAGAGTTGAAAAAGAATCTGGCTCCAGGCAGGCCCTTTTCCCATGAACATATTTTCCCTTAAGCTAAGGCAACAGAAACCACAGTCCAGAATATGAATATTCTTGAGTTCTTTGCTTTTTTTAGCTTTAGGTTTCTCTCCAAGTTTTCAGTTCACTTAGGAAAACAGCATAGGAGTTGTTTTTCCTTTGGAATGAAAAGAGATGTTTCCGTTCCCTTCTCAATAACTGGTTTTGGATAACTTCAAGTTTTGTAGTACAATCATATGACAATACCCAAAATATTTTGGGGAGGGAGAAGGAAAAAAACTGCTAAGCTTTGCTAAGCGTAAAGTCTGCTCAATGAACCATCTTTTGAAATTAACACAGAGCCCAGAAGCCTACTGGCCTTTCACCCTCTAACGCAATGTGAAGTTGGTTAGTATGTGATGCAAGTTTCCTGATACTGCTCAGTCATCCCCCAGCGTACACAGTCCAGAGGACTGCTTTTTGCAAGTAATACTTTGGTTTGCTCTGTAGGAAGGTGAGGGCCATTTCAGAGAAATAGCTTGGATCATGCCTCTCTCTTACTTTCGTTGCTAGTATTACACATATTTATCTAAGTAATGACTGATACATGATTTCCCCCAGTGAATGCAGTGCCTGAAAAGACAGATCCATCCCATTGCCCAGAGCTTCTGGGCATGGAATAGAATGTACAACGTTGTTCTAAGAAACAGGTTTAGATTTGAGGTCTTTATCTCTGAGGTTAGATTGCTATGAGATAACCATCAAATTGTCTAACTTTGTTGTGCATGCAGTGAGTGAACTGAAGTTCTTGCTGAATTTTGCTCAGAGCTTGTTTACACAATGAAGTTAAATGTGTTTACAGTGCATTATTTACTCTGCAATAACTCACCGTGTGGATGCTCTTTATGAAAAACATCTGTGGATCAGGTGTTAGCAACATGGTAGAGGATCAGGAATAATTTCTAGATGACACTGAATTTTTAGAGTAACTAATTTTTAGAGTACTATTTTCCAGTGGTTTCGACAAAGCACTGGGACTCAGGGTTCTTGAAACTTTGAGTAAGTTCCTGGATTCCTTAAGGTCAGTAGCTTTCCTATGCCTCTGTTATGACTTCTGTAATTTACAGATTATACAAAAATATTTGCCAGTATGGCATGATGTGAAACTTACTAAATTAATACGTTATCTACCACTAGATTTCCATGTAAATTCATGTCTACAGAATACAGTTCAGGAGGCTGTTCCTCTTTAGCATTTTGTCTTCCGTAGGCACTGTTTAAGATCAGAGCCCTTTGGCTTTTTTTGTTCCCTTCGTAACTCTTCAGAAGATAATTTTCCATCAATGTAAAGAACTAGCACGTTGTTTAAGGACTGCAGCTGCATGCTGCCCATCTAACATTTCTTATACAAACACTGGATGCTTTACATTATCCAAGCTGCAGACTTGTATTTTGGTATGGAAAGCCCAAAGGGTTGCTAGGTCTGGATTTGCTCCAGCCATTGTAGTGTGGAGCTGAGTCACGCTGCTTCCTCTTTCTTTGCATGATCTACAAGTGAGTGAGTAGAATTTTCAAGATGTAAAAGGGGAAATACATCTGAAAAGCAAGGTGATTGACTTGCTCTGTAATCTCACTTGGCCAGGCAGGTATAAAATCAACGTGACATTTTGAATAGTGTTTGAGCTTGTAAAGAGAAAGCTTTAGTCAGTCAGCCTGTGATGAAATCTGTGTTAAAGAACAATTCCTTATTAAGCAGTTCCTTGCCTTAAACAATGACTCTCTCAAGTATAGTCAGGATTCCTAGGGCAGGACTAGTTCAGTCTCTATCAGACAACTGCTTTGCACTGATTCTTCAGCGGGTGTTTGATGTTGTTACTGTGTTTGTTACCTCAGTTAAAGACAACTCAAATCTTCTGCACAAATATGGTCCCAAACTGTACCCACATTTCAGCCCTAGAGATTAGAGGTACACATGAATATCCCGCAGAAAAGTTCTTTGCTGTAGAGCGCATGTCCAGGAGTGGAAAGGGGCATGCGTTACCATGAAGCACCCAGTTACTTTAGGTGAGCAGATGGGCGTGCGGACAGCCTTTTCCAGACTATTTTAGATTAGAGCACTGAACTCTTCCTACTTGTGAAAAGTACAGGGCAGGCACCAGATTTGCAGAGGTGTCCCCTGAGCTGTCATGTAATTAATATAGCTCCAACACTACACCAACTGAACAGCTGCTTTTAAGAGAGAAAATTTTTACCGTCCGCTTTCGTTACCATTCTCACACTAGGCTTAATACTTGGAGCAGCCCAGCTCAGAACTAGGACTTGTATTGTTCAAAGTTAATTTCTGTACTGTTGCAATTA